CCCAGTCTAAATGTGGGCCTAAAGGAATGCTCATTTGACAGAGACATGGCAGAGATCTGGTCCATAGAGCTCGATGGCATGTGAGAAGAAGACCTAGCAGCTGGAGGCTCTGTGACCAGAGAGAGGCAAGATGAACTCATTGTTTTTGTCCATAGTTGATCACTTTGATAAGCAATGCTTGTAAGCATACAATTATTAAGTACCTGTGTAACCATCTTCAGGATGAGTCAGATCTGGAACATGTCCAACAGAGGAGTGGCGTAGAGGACTGGAAGGCGTACTAGATGTATTAAAAGGGACAGGTGGTGCTGCGAAACATGAAAATGACAATTTTTTAAGTGAACAATATATAACATTATATAATTCAGTGTCATACTCTGTTACCAAGGTAGAGTAACAATGCTGACAATAGTGTAACAGAATTGACAGTCCACCAGATAATTCTGTCAATTCTGTTACTTTACAATTCTGTTACTTAAAGGGTCAACTCTGTTTATGAACTATTTTCACAAATAAAACTATACAATTGTTGTTTAAAATCATAAACATTATTGAGATATGATGCACCCTTATATTTCAACAACATTTCTTTTTTTTTTTTTTACTGGATATTGTATACAATACATTTTCAGATGAAAAATATTTGATCCAAGCGGACAATTCTGTGAAGACATAGGTATTTTATTTTTTATTTTTAAGGTATGCATAGGTGAAATATTATCTCAGTTCCAAATGTTGGAATGTAAGGACTGTTTGTCTAATGATACAAGAAGGATTTTTTCTTTTATGATTTATTGTTATTTCTACACATTGAATTTCTGTTAGTGAACAGTTTTTTTTCTTAACTTTATGAAATGCCAAATGTATCTCCAATTATAGAATCACCCAGGAGGTCTTAGTTACCTTTAACCTTAATTAAAGGCATTCAGATTAACCTTTAATGACAGCCTCTCTCTAACATCACAATGCAGCAATCTTCAACCGTGAAAATTAATAGAGACAGTTAAAATGAGTCTCTTACACATAATGACCGACTTCTGGACTGTCTTCATGTTAGCATACCCACTAAACACATAGGAGTTAGCTAACATCACGATTAAATAAAGAGCAAAAAACTCCCAGCCTTTTCAGTTAACGACTACACACAACACAATCAATATGAAATTACAGTTTGACCACACAGTGTGACTTACCTTTGTGAAGATTTTGAGGTAGAATACTGTGGCTGCCTTTTCAACTCCAGAAAAATCAGCGCGCTTGGTTCAAATGATGCGGCGGCCCCAATCTGCTTTGCGCCTGTTGTTCCCGCCCACTGAAACTCACGCCGGGCTGGATCTGTATTAGATCAGTAAAACGGGTGTGACTGAAACGCGGATTTGCTAGTTTGAAGACGGATCCGGTTCGAACTCAGCTGCTGGTTTTCTATTTTAATATACTTCAAAATATAATTTATTGCTTTGATCAAAGCTGAATTTTCAGCATCACTGTGATGCCTAAATTTTGCAGTGTGAACCGCAAAATATCTTTGACGTTCTGAACTCGCTCTGGACTCAAAAAAAAACCGCGCTCTTTTCGGACGCGGCCCGGATCCGCTCTGCGACAGTAGTTCCCACCCACTGAAACCGAGCCCGGGCTGGATCTGTGTTAGAGCACTGAAACTGTAACGTGACTGTAACACGGATTTGCCAGTTTGAAAACGGATCCGGCATAGAGTCAGCTGCTGTCTGGGACATCACCAGAGACTGGGCTTCCTCCTTTGTGATGCTTTGCCAGGCCTTTACTGCAGCTGACTTCAGTTGTTGTTTGTTTGTGGCTCTTTCTGCCTTTAATTTCATCTTCAGCAAGTGAAATACATGCTCAATTGGGTTGAGATCAGGAGATTGACTTGGCCATTGCAGAATAATCCACTTTTTTACCTTCAAAAACTCCTGGGTTGCTTTTGCTGTATGTTTTGTGTCATTGTCCATTTGTACTATGAAGCGCCGTCCAATCAATTTTGCTTCATTTGGTTGAATCTGGGCAGACAGTGTATCCCTATACACTTCTTCATCCGGCTGCTTCTGTCTTCTGTCATGTCATCAATAAACACCAGTAGCCCAGTGCCACTGGAAGCCATGTGTTGTGGTTACAAAAATTTATAAATAAATTAGTGTGAAAAATTAAGAAAAATAGTAAAACAATTATATTAGAGTGACATTGAACTTAAAACAAGAGAATGTATTTTTCGAATGCACTTTATAGCGTCCTATCTGTGACAATTAATGTTCTCTGCTCAGCCTTGAATGATACATTGATTGCTTGATTGTTTTTCCCTGGGAAGTGTTCTCCTGTTTGGGGAGGGGGGTGCGCTGCACAGAAAATACAGAGACTCTGATGGTGAAGCAGCAGCTCCGTGTCCTGTGTTTTATTAACTTTCACATCTCCCCTCATCAGGTAATGAGGGCACTACACATGCATGCTCATGCCATCACACTGCCTCCACCGTGTTTCACAGTTGATGTTGTATGCTTTGGATCATGAGCTGTTCCAAGCCTTCTCCATACTTTTTTCTTCCTGTCATTCTGGTACAGGTTGATCTTAATTTCATCTGTCCAAAGAATGTTTTTCCAGATGTAGTGTCTGCGTAAAATCATGGATGGTCTTTGGGGTTTATGGCTTAAGAGACCCCTTTTAGCCTCTGACATTTGCATATAAATTACAGTCCTGGCCCCTGATTACACATTTATATGGGTGCTAAATTGTCAAATGGTTCCCACCACTATCAAGGAGATGCTAAGCAGTCTACCACTATCATCTCCCCATCTGACTTCAAACAGTTTCCAAAGAGAAGTAAATGACCCCCCGGTGCCAGGCGCAATGGGCCTGGCTGACCCTTACTATTTGTAGCATATTTTGGGTAAAACTGCACCGATCTTCCAGACCAGCAATAAACATGCAAATGGGCCATAAACAGAGACAAAGAAAGTTTCTCCCGCTCAAAATTCATGCCTCTGATTGGCCATTCCACCCAAAAGGGGGGTGTGCATAGGAACCCTCAAAAGTGATTAGCCCGAAATAATCTTGGCTCAGAAACCCTCTTCGTTTGAGACGACACTTTTCCAAGACTCTCAAGATTTTTCCTCTTGAGTTTTTATTTTCCGGCAGTTTTTATCTTCAAGTAACTTTAGTCGCTGTGGACTTTTCCTTCTTCAGAAGAACCAGAAGTAAAACTTCCAGCTCACTCCTAACGAACTCATCAAAGACCTCCGTTGTTTACCGCATCAGGGCTCTTGTTCAGCAATCGAAGCCAATGCAAGTAACCGTTTACAATTATTTAGATGTGTGTTTAAGTTTCAGCCCCTTTTTAAGGTGATTTTTGATTCTTTGATGATTTTCATAGGTTGTGGTTAATTGATGTGAAATACTGCCATTCTTTTTCTTTCCTCTCTCTTTTTCTTACTTTGCTTCATTCTGTATGTGTTTTGCTTAGTTAGTTATATGTTAGATATAGTTTCATTTATTAAATCCCTTATATTCACAATCGATTGCCTCTGTTTGCTGCTCACAATTCGAAGTCAATGAATGTTTGAACCCTTGCTACATTTGCTAAATTACTGCTGGCACTGCATAAAGAAGGACAGTTTATTCTTCCTTGGCCAGGAAAATACTCTTTCTTTGAATTGATAAATGATTATATTGTCTGCTCGGTGGACGGACAGATCAAATAATTGTAATATTGATTCTGCTACAGTTAATTCTAAGATCTAATCTAAATATTTATTATTAATCATAACCAGTTATAATTAGTCATAAATATTTCCCTTTTGAGCTGACTTACTACAGATTTTGGTGGAGAATGCAGGCAAAATTCAAACATTGTTTGTGAGCAAACTCAGTATCAATTTATTTGTTTTTATATTATGCGCGCTTAGAGTGAGACAAGTCGCTGCGCGAACTCACTCTGTTGTTTGGATGGTTCAAAGCCACCTCCAGTACTGTATTTTAACAGCCTCTATTTGTCTAACATTTAGTCACTGTTAATTGTTAAAGTAAACTGCAGTTCATAATATTAAAATTGTTCTCTAAAGACGAAGAAATCTCTTTAAAGTACATTTTAACAGGCGATTTTTATCAAAATCGCCTGTTGGAACGAAGAAATCTTCCTGCATTGCGATAAAGATAGATTTGAGCGATGCTCCTCTTATCATCTTTTAAAGGCCTTATATTTGATAGTATCGCTAGATTGAAGTCATTGCGAAGTTCCAATTTCATTTAACTAGACGATCTAACTCCCTTAGGTTTAACC